TCAGGTTTAGTCCAAACCCGATCTTGCTTGCCCGGTATATGTTTATATATGTTATCATAAATTTTATTAGTATCAATTAATCTTATGAGAAATTTTTCCTTTTATAGATCATACTTAATAAATTACTTTGTTGTTATTATGAAAAGTTTTAAGAAGTAAATATATTATTTTTATTTAAAATTTTAATTTGACTTCCTAACTTAATATTATATAAAAATAATGTATGTTAAAGTTTTTAAAAATTTAAAATATTACTTTTGATTATAATATCATTTTGCAAGGGAACGTTTTAGATGGACATAATTTAATATATAAAATTTATTTGTTATCTTATTTTTTATTTTTTTTTGTTTCAATATAAGACCAAACCTAGTAGTCTTTTCATATCAGGTTGACCCAATTTTAATCTCGAAATATAAGAATTGGGCACCAAGTTGATAACTAACACAATCTTACCTAAGACTATGACAAATAACTAAATGATTTAATTTTATCAAAGGTTGATGCAACATTTTTTCTTTTATTAGGAAAAGCCATAAGTACTTTATGGCTGTCAAACTAATAAATTTAAGTAAACTTGTGTAGAAAGAATATATTTCTATTGTAGATTCGTAATGTAAAATAGTAAAAGTTTATCTTTATTAATAAATAATATTAAATATATATTTACATGGTCTAAAAAAATATTATATTTCAAAATTTATATATTATATTAAATCAAATGGTCATCAATACCAATTTGAAAATTAAAAATAATATTTTTAAAACAATAAAAATGACATAAAGTACAAATAGTAACTTGACATCATGAAGGTTCTTCAACTTTTGATTTCCAACGTCTATGGAGATCAAAATTTCCTTTGGTTCGTGGTGCTTTTTCAACTTCTTGTTGATCCTTTATTTGGAAAAATTAATAATCTTTCCTCAAAGAACCACTTAGCTTCTTCTCTACCAGCTCCAGATTATTATGACATGGCCCATCTCGTTTTTCTTTTCCAGATATCTGTCTTTGATTTGTTTGGACTTTTAATTTTTATTGTTGTAATTAGTAAGCCAAACATTACTAATGGACCACAGTTTGTGTTCTGAGGGGTCTTTTATTTTGTACTCATTTTATATGGTAATATATTGACTTTTCCCTAAAAAAATAGTAATAAATCGTAAATTTTATTAATGAATATTACAAGTAAATAAATGATTTAATTTTATTAAAGTTTGCTGCAATATTTTTTCATTTGGAAGAGCTGTGAGTACTAATAGTAACTTTCCTTTCATGTTTGTTACCCTCTCTCTTTTTCACAATTGTTTCTTTAAACTTATTAGATAATGTGTGAGCTCATATTTTATATTAGAGAAATGAAATTAATTAAAATAATATTATATAATATTTTATTTAAATAGGTTGAGACATTCTAATTAGATAGACAACAAATGATAAAGCGCAACTAATCTGTCTAAAAATTTATCTTTATATTATCAAGACACATATTTGCACGTCTTTGTATATTATTAGTATATCATTCGGAAACCCACAATGAGTTGGATTCTCATATGTGAATCTTCAACTTTTTCTCCTTTTGTAATTTGTTATAGAAAGCTTCTTTTCTTAGTTTCCTTTCTTGTTTTACTGTTGTTTTTTAAAATAAGTATTTCTTTTAATTTCTTAGATGTTGTATACTAATTATGTAAATAATTTAAATTTGTGATAGAATACTGGTCTTATAACAAAAAAAAACTTAAGCATTAAGTGTTGTTGACTTTTTACAAATATGTTGTTAATGAAAATATAACTTATATGAATAAATAATTAATTCCCTGGTTCAAATATTAATTTTAAAATGTAAATTTCATAAAATCTTTAGATTTTGTTTCTATCTTTATATATGATGAATTTTGTACAGCTTTTCAAAATTTATATATACCTCCACTTATTGGGTTCTATATGCATGTTTTAGAACCAGAGTAAACATAAACAAATGGCAACATCACAGAAATATTTGGTTTTCGTTTTGTCTTTGCTATATCTTGTTTTAACTTCTTATAGCTTTATTTCCATACAGCATGCTGTACTTGAAGGTCCAAGTCCAACAGGAAATTCTCCACCACCTGTAGTCCAAATTCACGATAGTTACAACTCTTTAAATTATGAGATGAACAAAAAAGTACCATATGGTTAGGCATTATTGAGCCTCTGGTTACTCCTCCCTTGAATCAAGTTTCAGTTTTTGATAGATACAACTCTTTAAAGTATGAAATTAACAGAAAAGTTTCATCTAGTTCGGAGGTAATTGAGCCTCCAGTTACTCCTCCTTTGAAGCAAGCTTCAATTTTCGATGGATACAACTCTTTAAAGTATGAGATTAATAGAATAATACCATCTAGTTCAGGCGTTATTGAACCTCCGATTACTCCTCCTTTAATGCAAGTTTCAATGTTTGATAGTTACAGCTCTTTAAAGTATGAGATAAATAGAAAAGTCCCATCTAGTTCGGGAGTTATTGAACTTCCGGTTACTCATTCTTTGAAGCAAGTTTCAATATTGAATAGATACAATTCTTTAAAGTATGAAATAAATAGAAAAGTTTCATTTGATTCGAGGGTCATTGAGCCTCCAATTACTCCTTTAAAGCAAGCATCAATTTCTTATGGATGCAACTCTTTAAAGTATGAGATTAATAGAAAAGCACCTTCTAGTTCGAGCGTCATTGAACCTTTGATTACTCCACCTTAAATAATTAACTCTTTAAATCATGAGATTAATATGAAGTTAATTCTCTTTCAATTCGATTCAGCTTGATGAGATAGCAAGGCTTTGCCTAAATTATTATGTTTATGTAATATGAAGACTTGTGTGTGATCAAATGGAATATCATAATTCAATGTGTGGACTTGATATAATAAATGATGCATTACAATTATATTCATTTTCATAATCATTTTCAATTCCAAATAAAGATTTGAAATTATATAGACTAAATTAACAACTAAGGCAAACGATAATGGCTAAATATTTATTTTTTTCTTTTAAATTTTTTAAGGAGTTTCAAAAATCCAACTTTAATGTATACAAAGCTATGTCATATATGGTATAGATAGCATCTCTTGACAAAAATGTATTTTTGTAAGTTTATACTTATATGTTTGGCCCAAAAACAGTTTATACATATATGTTAAACAAGGTCTGCTTTATTTTTCATAATTTTTTCAATCAACTTTATTTTTTTTTTTGTTCAATTCAATTTATAGATGGAGTTAATGGCTAATACATTTCAACATTGATTCATTATAGAGATTTTGAAGGGATTGGAATAGGACAGAAAATGAGAATGTGAAAAAGAAAGTAAATAAAAAGAATCTTTAAAATATGTCTAGTGTTGTAAAAATTTTAAAATGAATGCTTGCATAAACATTATTTGGCAGACAAGAAGGGCTTGAAACCTCTAAAACGCTTTATAACACCCCACCTTTTCAAATTTATTTTTTATTTTTATTTTTACTTAGAATAAAAAAATTATGATATCTTAAAATGTAATTTTTGTATTTTTCTATAATTTAGAAACTATGAAGTACTATAGTTTTAATATTTTAAAAAATATATAAATAATAAGTGTTAAAGGCAAATGAGCCCCTAAATTTTAGTTAAAGGGTGTGTAGGATTCTAAACTCATTTTTAGTATAATATTTTTTTAAATTTTTAAAAATGATATAATGTCACTCCTATCAATAGCAAAAGTTAACTCTACAATTAGTTTGCTAGAAAGTTATAGAGAATTAAACAAAAATTACAAACAAGAACAAAAAATTTACAAAAAAGGATCATGAAAAATTTATTCATCCTTTTCTACAGTTTTTGCATCTTTTTTTGTAATTTTATAGTCAACTAAGGACTAGATTCAACTTTTATTAATGACAGAGGTCATATTGTACCATTTTAAAATTTTCAAAGGAGCATTGCATTAAAAGTGAGTTTAAAACTTATAATTCGGTGGTTAATTGTTCATTTAACCAAAAAAATAAGTACACCATTTTTTATAACAATAAAATAAAAAAACATTAAAGTTAATTTAATTGATAAGAAGTTAACCCATAACCCACAAGGTTGTTGATCAAATTACGTTACTAATATGAAGACCTTATCATGGGCAATTTGTAAGTATCAATATAAGTGTTTTTAGAATTTAGTGATATGCTTTGATTTTAAAGTCAAAAAAATAGACCAAACATGTTAAGCCTACTTATTTAATCCCTAAATTAGGTAGAATCAGACTTCTCATTTAGAGTCTAAAAAAGGTATTCAAAATTAAAAGGATTGGTCCTACTGGGCTTGAAAATAAAAAGACCCACCCTGTTAAGGCATGTTATTATTGTTCTTAAATTTCAAATAAAAACACAAATTAATTAAATCATGTTACCAATAAAGGATGATTAAGGAAGATATGAAAAACTTAATATGTTTACTACCAAGAAAGTATCACAAGGAGAATGATCAAATTGTATTAATGTTGGAGCGGTGGTGGTGATAATGATGATCTTAGATCTTAATGATGATGTTGCTGCAAATATTTAATTTTTAATGTGTTATTTGTATTATTAATAGTTGTTATTGATTTGTTATGGTTGTGGATTGATTTTGTTTTGTTTTTAAATTTTTTATTTTTTCTAGATTTTATCTTATGTAAAATAGTTTTTTCAACTTATAAATATTTAAAATTAAAAAAAATTAGGGTCACAAGCCATTAAGGCTTTGGAAAAACTAACCCTAAAATATATTCAAACTTTTCAAATTCAGTCCTTTTAAACGCTGGCCTTAAAAGAGATTAGGAAGGAGGGTATTAGAGGATTAGGATGGAGACCCATAGTAGAACTGTAGAAGCCCCAAACAATAGCGATCATTTTTTTTTTTGGCCAAAAAACAATAATGAACTTATAGAAAATTAATTATTTTGGTCAAAAAAAATTAATTATTAATTAATAAAATTAATGATTATAATCTCTAGTCTCCAGCGACGTACAGTCTCGTCGGGTACAAGGAGCAGATCCATTTGTCTTCTTCGACGAACAAGCACCCCACACTTGGTCGAGCTCGCCGTTGGAGGCCATCCACAGTTGTCAGCCCTGCGTGGTTGTTTTCCGGGAAGTATTGAAGAAGATTCGAACCCTAGGGCTTTATCTTATACCAAAATCCGGTGAGATTTATTCTATATTTGAATTTGTCCCCCGCGTCATCTGTTCCCTGCGTCGTGGTCAACCCTCTGTTGGACGCCGTCGAACCGTTTCTTGATTTGTTATAAAATTTTTATTTTATTTTTCTTCGAATCCGGTTGTGTAATCGTTTGAATATTGACGCTTACAGTTTTTTAATTAACTTTGATTTCTAGTTTTTGCGTGATGGAGTGTAGTTGGCCGTTATACTTCTGCCCTCTCCATTTTTTAATACTAGCGACTTATATAGTCTTTGGATTGTGTTGTTATTCAATGTTGGATTTGTTGTGTGTTGGCATTCTGTTTGTTAATCATCTCTTTATATTATCATCAATTGAGAGATTTCTCAAGGTATTTGTAATGCACGATCTGTTAAATGAATTGGCTCAATTTGTGTCTGGCAATTTAGAAGCTTGACTTTTAATCATTTCGTGCTGCTGGGAATTTAGGAGCTATTGACAGAAACAATCAATTGCCCACCTTACTGTAAGCAACACTTTTCATGATCATAAATTGCAAGATGAAATTGGAAGATCATAAACTGCAAAGAGTGTTATCCTTGTCACTCTTCAGTGGCTTGGAGGAATTTCCTGAATCAATTGGTTTACTAAGCCATCTTCGTTAAAAAGTATCTAGAACAAAAATTAAAAGGGTATGATATTAACTATGCATATCTCAAGGATTTCATGGGGACAGGTTCCCCCACTGTAATACAGGTCTGCCTATGTAGTTATGTGCAGAATTAATAGAAGAATTTTCTCATCAACATCAGATAAACTTCATCACATCAAAATTTAAATTCATGTTTGTGCCAAGAGAAAGGAAGGAAGAAGTGTAACTGATGTTGAATGTTCTCTCTTCCCAACCTACAACTTTGATTCACTTTTTCAATGTCAAGCTTAGAAATCAAGTTTGATTTATTTAGGTTCGCAGCCATTTGATATAGGTGACATCTCTATAGTATAGAAATTTTAATTTGACTACCATTTATTTGCTCAATCAAGTATAATCAAGTAGAATGTATATACCCTCGATGCCAATATTTTTCTTGTTGGCATCTCTCCCTAGTCCCTAGTTTGAAGCCCATGTCTTTGTAGTCCATTCCATCAAATTTAGTTGATGTTTGGTCTGCCTCTCTTCAGAAGCCTCAATTCTGTTTCTCTTTTCAGATACAATTTTTCAAATCAGACAAGTAAGATATCATGGGTGCACATATTGACTCAAGTTCATCAGAGAAGAAATCAGGCAATGGAATGAATGACCTACCAACCTTCAATGCTGAGAATTTGCAACACAACATGAAAACTATCTATTACAGGTTTGTTTTGACTTTTTACGGTAAACAAGTTCAACTATTTATCTAAAACATGCATATGACTAGAAGCGTCATGTTTGGGGTGGTGTTCCAAGTTTAAATTACATTGTATGACTTTATTTGCAAGAAACACTTACCAGAGTGCATGAGATGTATATATTCGGATTAGTCATAGAGCAACGGGAGAGGGAAACATGATTCTTAGATGATATGAGTAATACTAAATCAAGATGCCTTCTGTGGTGGTTTCTTTTGCAGCCGAACATTTATGTCTATAATTGGCGGAGTTGTTGCTGGAATTTTGGGGTTTACTGGATTGAAAGGATTTGTCTTTTACTTCCTTATCATGGCATTTACTTCCATTGGACTCATAGCAAAAGCTAAATTTTCAATCCACTCATACTTTGACTCCTGGAACCGGGTGTTACTTGATGGCTTTTTTGGTGGTCTAATGGTACAATTTCTTATCATCTCTTTCTATCTCAGCATGATTTTTTGTATGAGATTTTTATTTCTAGGATGAAGAAGTATGCCCATGTAGATTGTTAAAGAAGTAGCCAAAGAGAGGATATAATCCTCCAAATAAATAAAACAGAAAAACACAAACCACTTCAATCTTTATGATGAAATTTTAGCAAGGAATGCTTGTCTGATCTTCAGAACTACCATCTTTGTATTTTTGTTAAATAGCTGGCTTGACACTTCACCATCACCTTATGATGATTGTGATTTATCTTTTTTCTGTGGGTATGAGTGATCTTCCATTAACCCCCTCCCCAACCCTCCTTTGACGTGCATTGTTTGCATTTTTTAACATTTTTCCCTTTGAACTTTCTGCAGTCCTTCGTGCTGTTCTGGACGTATCCTTCTCATCTATAGTACGTGGTAAAGTATGGCTCCATATTTAAATAACTAGAACTTATTTTGTATTATGGTTTATAAGAGTAAACTATACACAACTCATCACATCTATAGCTTGATTACAACTTGTTAAGAAACTTTCAAATATGACACATTACATTACCCTCTAAACTATCTATAGTACGTGCATGTGAAAACATTGATGCGTCAGAGTCATGTGATTGTAACATGAAACGTGTAAGTTATCATGTGACAATCACTTGGTTTGTTTGTTTGTTTGTTTTTTTTTGCATGACATGTAATGTTTTCACGTTTTGTGGCAGTTATGTTTGAGTTCATGTATCAGAGTTGTTATAGACTATAGTTTAAGGAGGGTATATGGATTTTCCCCAAATTTTAAATGCCCTGGGGCTGCCAGTACCCATTGCCAGTGTCGTCAATAGGTATGATTACCTAGTGCATGCACTGTAGCGTTTGAAAACATAAACAAAATTTATATAAACATATTTGATGAAAATATGGTGAAGACTTGGTAGTATGGGATACCAAGTCCCACATTGAGTAGTATGAGATGTTAAATGGGGTATATAAGTGGGTTGGTTCTTCTACTCCAACAGCTAGCGTTTGGATTTCCGATCCCACTCAGGTACCTATCAATTGGTATTGGAACCTCGTTGTCGGTGGTTTCGAAAAGGGCTACCCATAGAGGGTTCTAACTAGAAGGAGATCGAGTTAAATGTTGTGGAGTGCAACCATTGGGTTCCTTGGGGGGCCAATTAATGGAGACTTGGTAGTATGAAATACCAAGTCCCATATTAAGTAGTATGGGATGTTCAATGGGGTATATCAGTGGGTTGGTTCTCTCACTCTAATAGCTAGCTTTTAGGATAAGGTTTCCCATCCCACTTAGATACCCATCAAAATATGACAAAAGAGGGAAGAAAATAGTCATGACTAAAACTTTCCAAGAAAATAATATATCATCACTTAGCCAAAATAGACAGTACCCATGCAGGAAGCTCCATTCTCTGTATTCTTGTGATAGAAAAATTTCTCACATTACTAAAGCAGATGCTATTCTCACAACATTTAAAAAGGAGTCGTTCCATGGTGTCTCATTAAATTGTTATGTCATGGTCATTGACAAGACTGCCCATTCAACTTACGTTTGTATGGGTTGTGTGGGTATTAGTGACATTTGCCATAATAAAACACAATTCAACCAAAATTTCTAAGCTTCCCTTGCTCTAATGACCATATTGTTGCTATTATTTATGTTCTTCCTTAACATAACGAAGATTTGCATATGACATTGTTCATATATTTTGATGGAGAGCCAAGTGGAAGGTCTCACGAGAAGGTATTTCGGTGGCCACTGCTTGTCACGATGCTTTTGCACCATTGCTTTTCTAGTCAGTTTTCATGATGTTGGCTTTTTCAAACGTTGTAATTTCTGTAGTTTATTTATATTATTATCACATAATGGAATCATAAGTAGATAGAATGGATAATTAGATCTTTGAATTGACATTTCTTCAGTGACACAGTTTTACTGAGATGATTTTTCTCAACGTTGTTGTGCCACGTAATACCTTGTGTGGGTAGACAGATAATATGTTCATCAGTGTTGATTTTTTCCCCCAAGTTCATTAGTGTTGATTATTCCTAAGATCATATCAAGCAAGAGTACTTTCAAATAATAGTTTTCTCTCTCTTTATTGGGAGAATTTTAGTAAAAGGCCACAATAGCTAAATAATTTAACATCAGGACCAATGGATTCTAGAATTCCACTGTAGGATCAAGGGATTAAATTAAAAATGTCTTAATAGAAAATGATTAAAATACCCTCCAATGTCTATTGAGGTAGGGAGCATGGTTTTGTACTAATCAAACTGTTGAATAAAGCTGGTAATTCAAGTCAGGTTTATTTCAACCAAATTTAAAATGATGGATCATATAAAAAAGTTCACATATCCAAGTTCGGCCTTAAACATTTCAAGCTTTTTAAGTTTCTTTGAATTGGTTTGAATGCTTGAATGGCTGAAGCTTTTTTTATTTTATTTTTTACTTCTTTTCAATTTTTACTTTAAAAAATTATAATTTTTTAAGCAATATATCTCTACATTACAACGCCATTTTTTTAATCCTTACTAATGTGACACCAAGTATTTAAAAAGTTAAAAAAAAAAAGAGTATAAGAAGTAATATTTTAAGTTTAAATTTCTTTAAAATTTTCAACAACAAAAAAAAATCTAAAACACAGTTATGGGAAAATTGAAACTTCATTTAGAAGTGTAAAGTATGCAAACTAAGTATAGGGGAGGAATTGTAAATTTGAAATGAAAGGTTAAAGTAAATGTTAATTTTATTTTGTTAATAAAAAATGAATTTAGGTGGATTTGGATTGGGCTTGAATATATTTGAGTTTATTTGAGTGACTTAAATAAATTATAAATTTTTTTAAGTTTATTCAAACTGACACATCAATTTGACTTGAATTATCAGCTTTATTAAAAAATATATTTAAGCTCATACTTTTTTTAGCCGAAAAGCCCATACTTATTTCAACTAATGAAATTCACAGGAAAATGATTTTGCAATGCTTAGTGATGGCCTTAAGGGGCAATTTATTTAAAATTAAAAAATGTGATTTTATTTAAATTTGATTCTTCGAACTGTTGGAGAAGAAATTAAGCTAATCATAAAAGTTTTGCTTTTATATATATAAATATATCCATTTTTTATCCAAATAAACTAACGCTTGTGTTAAGCTTAAATTCTCACAATAACTCCCGCATAGATTCTCACAAGTAACAACCTTCTCATGTTCAGTCTAATTAAAATCATTTTTTAAATCCTAGACAAACAGGTCCTATGGCTATGTAGATTATAGAGTATTCCTTTCCCCACTTTTTTATCGTTCTCGTTTATAGAATAGTATTGTCCAACTCAACAGCTTAATGCAAGGCCTATTCTCAAGTGAAGAAAGAGACCCCTTACGCACAGGATGGAACCATTTCCAGACCTACTAGGAAGCCCACCCTTGGGTCCAACACACAGGCAACAACGATTCGTGATTATCCATGACGATAATGAAAATGACATTTGAGCATTTCGAACTTTGATTTTAGTAAACAAGATTAGATTATATGTCCTGTAGGTGCCACTTACAAGGATAATCATATCACTCATCGAAAGAGAGCAATGCAAGTCCTACATGTTTCAATTCTTCTTAACCTTTTGTCATCACAAAGTAAACGCCATGACATACTAAAACATTCTCAAACAAAACCTGGTTATAACCTTTTCCAGTTTTTGACTTAATCACTGTTCCTTTTACTTTGGCAAAAAGACAATTAAATATCTCTATCCATATTTGACCCTCTATAGGTGATCAAACATTCGAAGTCTTGATAGGGCTCCAGAAATATCAATGCATGACAACCAAATTATGTAAGGATAAGATGAACAACCACCAATCATATAAATCAAGAAGAAATTCTACCCACAATTTCAGTGTATCAGAAGTTGTAGTTCACGAGGACTCTATCTAGAGACTAAAATCCTAAGCAAAGGCCTATCACATAAAACTCAAGTTTAACACAATCTTCACCAGTACTTCAAGAGAGTTCTCCATAAATCACATTCAACAGACTAATCCATCAGACGAAACTAGTAAACGTAAAAGTACTGCATCATAACAATACAGAATATGGAAAAAGGACCCAAGAAGAAAAATTCCCACCAAGCATGTTGTACTTTCGATGGAGAGAGATTTTAAGAAGAGGGCAATATGTTGACTATGTTTGAGTAGCTAATCCCTTTAAGTGTGGTTGTAAACCCTATCGTTTGGAAGGTCTCTCATCATCCTCGCCACCGTCGTCGTTGTCGTCGCTGTCGTCTGAATCATCCTTGGACCTCTTTCTTTTTGAGGAAATCTCAGCCTTCTTAGCTTCCCCCTCATTGTCATCATCAACTTCATCTTCCTCCTCACCATTCTGCGCAGGCTCAAAATCACTTGATGCTTCCTCTTCCTCAGCAGTGCCTACAGGACGAACAAGGTACTCTGTCCCCAAATCCTCCTAAAAGTTTAAAAAGTGTTACAAGACTAGGGCAGTTTAAAAAGGGGAAGAGAAAGCCAAATAGAATAATTTAACGAAAAGTTGAAGGGGGGAAAATAAAAGCAGATAGGCGTATAGACAAGAAAACTTCAACTTTAACAGGCGTTCATTTTTCAAGTTCCTTGGCTCAGCCAGATCAATTAGGCTACAATTAAGCATGACATGATTATATATGCAATTTTAGATGTCAGTCCAATTCCATGATTCTCATTCTCAAACCCCCCTTAAAAAGTAGGAATAAAACGGATAATAAAAATTCAGGTGACTCAGGTCCCAAAAAAAAATTCAGGTGACCAAACTAGCACATAATACCCAGTGCTCTGAATAATGAAACATGCACGGGTTTTATTAAAAAAAAAAAAAAAAGCAAATGTATGGATATTGAGAACCCTAGAGACGTAATTTAAGAAAACTCGAAATCTAAAATGGTCAAAAGCTATAATTATAAGCTCTCTCTCGCTCTCTCTCCCTCACCTTTTCGATCAGTGCCGGATTTATGACTCGCCAAGATAAATCACCGAGAAGATTGAGGATAACGAAGGAAAAGGACATGGCAGAAACTAGATTAGTCCTTCTCCCATCACTTTAAGGGAGAAACAAACAACGAAAGCGCACTCTAATTGAAGCTGAAACAGATTCAGAAAAGAAATTTGATGCACAGACAGGTTCTTCTAAGATCTAACCAGGATTTATCATTGGAAATGGTTGCAGAAATAAGCTAAAACGAATTCCGTTTTATTTTTATTTTTATTTTTATTTTTTTCCCTTTCTTGTGATTTTCAATTGTTGCTCAGAGCTGACTGACAACATACTTGAAAGGAACCAAAAAGTTAAAACAAATGAAAAGAAGAGAAGCGAATCGCATGAATTGCAGTAAATATTTCAGATTTGAAAATTCAGCAATTTTTAACTATTTCTGCAAAACTAGGTAGGAAAAAGAGCAAATCTGAGTTAATTACCTCATCGTCGCCCTCTTCGTCGTCGTCCTCACCGTCGTCGTCGTCGTCGTCGTTATCATCGTCATCAGCACCAGCGTGTTGAGCGACATCACCTGCATCGTCATCGTCTTCTCCATCTTCGTCATCGTCGCCGTCCGGAGCGTCGTCATCGTCTTCTTCATCTTCATCCTCGTCATCAACCTCATTGTCCTCGTCCTCGTCCTCGTCATCATCGTCCTCGTCATCGTCATCATCTTCTCCATCTTCTACTTCATCCTCGGAGCCGTCATCTTCCTCATACTCGTCATCTTTTCCTCCCGAACCGTGACCTCGTTTTCAGCCACGTGTTCCTTCAATTCTTCCGTAGCCTTCATCTCCAAATCGAAAAAACAGGAAAATCACACCACTTTCTCGAGAAAAATCCTAACTTTCCAGGAAGAAACGAAAATCAATCGAAAATCGAGCACGGAGGGAGGATAGGGGAGACAGAACGTTGATTCCAGCTTCTTCCTTCGTTTCACCAGTTAGCTCTGCAGCACAGATCTCATCCGTTGAAACGAGAATTCACGGGAATCGATGACGTGGCAATAGATCGACGGTTCTGGTGAAAGCATTGGGAGTTCAGTGCGGGTGGCGTGATTGCGCATTGCGGCGCCCACGGATCAGTACTCCTATAATCATAGTCACGTGTATGTCACGTGAAAACGCATTCTCCTCGGTTAGGGTTTTTCTCTCGTGAATTTTTTAATATTTTTTTAATGGACTGTTCATGAATGAGAAATTATAAAAAATTTTAACAAAACTAGTTGTGCTTTAATCCGAAACAATTGCATTTGGGGCCGTCAAAAACAAGAAATTAACGAACAAGGTTAAATAGAATCTAAAGACGGCAAGGCTTTGTTTGTCCATGTGTAGGTGAAATGACTTATTTGCCCCCAACATACTACTCTCTCATTTCTCTCACCTCTGGTGCAATCCTCTTCAACGAGTACAGCCTGTGCGCTGAATGGCTCATCCTGTCACAAAAAACAAGCGCAGCCATGGTTTCATGAATGCAATCTAGCTTTCCCAGGTCGTCTCCTCCTCCTACGCCAGCAGCTATTCACTCATAAATAACACTGTTTCTGTTCCTCACTCTGCTTCTCTTGTGGGTCATTTTTTGTTCTGATAAAAACCCACAAAAATAGTCAATAATATCCCATATGGGATTCGATTATTATTTTTGGATCGGCCTGGATATCTGGGATTTGATTAGGTGGCAGTTTCATCCAGTGATTTCGGATTGAGTGGGGTGAAGGTTGAGAGAGAGAGAGAGAGAGAGAGAGAGAGAGAGGTGAGAATGAGGAAGTGATGTGGAAGGTGGATTGCAGCGGAGGTGAGAGAAATGAGAGTCGAACAGTTGGGTAGTGTGAGGGGCAAATAAGTCATTTTAAGTAAAAATTCAAAGCGAATAACGCCTTTAGAAGTAATACTAGATTTTATTGTGCCTTTTTAATAAATTTCTTGCTTCTGAGGAATGTAATTCTTCCTCTCTTTTTAATTTTTTGCCAACTTTCACTATTGGTCAAGCGTCCAGATGCAAAG